AAGAGGCTATAGATTTTTGTAATAAGAGACTAAGGGCATTATTGCTATACATTTCTCCTCATAAGTGAAACGTTTAATGACTACTAATATCTAAAGCTTAAACAAAATTTATAAATATTTACATGACAAGTAAATCAGCTGGCCAATTGAGGTTGGAAAACTCCAACTTCCTCAACTCAAGAGAGAAATACAAGCCAACTAGCCAAATTCTTAGATACACCTGCTCATTAACACAGATGTCTAATCGCGTGGAAATGACTCAATTCATTAAAGCAAGAAAGGTGTTTTAATAACTTTGAACATGGCATGGTTGATTGTAGCAGATGGACTGGTCTAAGGATTTTGGAAACTGCTGATCTACTGAGGTGGTTATGTGGGATTATCCCACATAACCACCTCAAGGGTTTACAGAGAATCATCAGAAAAAGTGAAAGTGTCCAGTGACAGGCCGTAGATGAAAAGGCCTTGTTTATGCCAGAGTTTAGGGAAAAATAGTAAAACTGCTTTGAACTGATAGAAAGGTAATTCAAATAACTACATGATACAACCAAGGTATGCAGAAGAGCATCTCTGAACACATCTCTGTCCGACTGAAGCAGATAAACTACAGCAGCAGAAGACCACAGCTGATGTCAATCCTGTCAGCTAAGAGTAGGAAACTGAGCTACCAATCATATGAGCTTATCTAAATTGGATAATAAAATACTTGAACAAAGCTATCTGATCTGAAAGAAAGGGTCTCGAGACTTGTAGCTAACAAACCTGCAGGAAGGTATGATAGCATCATGCCAATAAGGACAGAAATATCTAAGCACCTTGATCTAAGGAGCTTGGAAAGAAAAGCGTCTGGAAAAGGTGGAGAGTCCCAGATTTTAAACCCATTTAAACCCAGTGGGGGGGATACTCCCACTGGGTTTAAATCTGGGACTCTCCACCTTTTGACCCTAGAACTGAAGAAGCTTCTCGGCTGAGAGGTGAAACATCTTCAAGCAACTTAAAGAAGTCCAGACGCTTTTCTTACCAAGCTCCTTAGATACGATGACCTGGATGACTGAGAACCTTCACAGACATTTTCCAGCACCTTGTTAAAGCTATACCGTAAAGACTTAGGGCAATTCCGAAGGCAAAAGAGGCTCACACCACTTTAAATGAGGTAGACATAATAATTGGATGTGAATGTACATTTTGGTAGTATAGTACGTTTTTGTTTTAAATTCAACAGGTCTGTCTTTTTTCACTTTCAGGAAAAATATAAAATCTACATCTCTTTTATGCTATAAATTACTAAAGAAACCTAATAAAACATTACATAGTTTGCAATGATGATTAAAGTCACAATAGGAAGCAATCATTTAAATTATAGCATAAGACATCCTCTCACATAGTTTCAAATTTCAGAAACTTGAAACACTATTATTCTGTCTTAACACTTTACACACTGCAACATCAAACTAGCTAAAATGATCCTACAAAATGCCAACATCCAGTTATCTACAAACAATTTATGAAGAAAAAAAAAATATCAGAGAGCTATCTCTGGACCCCCAGAAAAAAATGCAAGTTACTGCCAAACTCAATGGCCAGAGCTAGACTGATCTAGAATTCACCTTGTATTCCAAACAGCTGTCCAAAGGCAGTGATCCCTGGCTAATCCTCACCGTACCTTCCTGCTGGGTTGAGTAAGCATGTTTATGTCAACAGCAAGGATGCTGCTCTTTTCTGTCTCTCTGGGCCTGAAGAACAGAGATAGCTCTTTAGGGAGCACAGCTAAAATGATCTGCTTTATAAACAAAACACCTTGGATAAGTTCACTGTAGGCACACTGACTCATATTTTTAACACTAATGATAAACCTAACTGCAGGCTACATATGGCTAACACAGTCTGTGTGAAGTGAAATCCACTGAAACACACGCACATGTTTCAGCTTACAGACATGCCTACACAAGCCTTATATCACTACAGTATGCATCTGTGGGCCAAGCCATAGTAAACATTACACAAGTTGAGCTCTAGGTTAGTAAACATCTAAATAATAAAATTATTGTGATGAGTACAATAGAAAGATCTCTATTTTGAAGATATGAAAAAAAATAACCATCTGTCACTACTTTAGTATACTTGAATAGATGTGAAATATAACTGAGGCTATTCCAATAACATACTGCATGAAAAATAAATAAATAAATATCTAATGCCTCATTTATGGTCACTGCTCTGGTTATTGTGGATGCCTGTGACATCACCACGGCCCCATAACCATTCATATTGACACCCGAAGCATGATAGACACGGTGCAGTCTCCTGAAATCTCAGAAGAAAACCTTTGCATTACTACTGAGCCAAATGATACTACTACTACTACTACTACTACTACTAGTTGTTATTGTCATTATCAGTATTATTATTATCATATGATAATGAAGTTGTTTTCAAAGTTTCTCCCTCTCTGTAATCTGCACGGTCCTGCAATAATATATCACTGACTTGATAGTAAAGGCATAACTTCTTTTACAATTTTGTCTCCAAACCAGTTGCACTGGGTTACAAAAAGATCAAGAGGCACACCTCAAGTGGAAATGACAACAAAGTGTGGTGGGTGTCTGTTGTTGTGATGTCACTTGACAGGCGCTGTTGTTTGTAAAGTTCATATAGACTCTTCCAAAAACCATGACACTGTCTAGCAAACTATATCATGATTAAACTGAGAGATCGCGTCCCAGAAGACACACAAAAAAAATATTCACAAACAGATAAGTATTTATAAGAATACCAAAAAACAAGCTCGAAGGACAGGCCATGGTCAAGATGACCTGCTGAAGTTCAACCCAAACGTCACAATGGGAAAGGAGAGTGATTTTTAATGACTTTGCAACTGGCATGGTTGAAACTGCTGATCTACTGAGATTACCACACACAACCATCAAGTATTTAGGGAAAATGGTTAAAAAAATAAAAATTAAAAATAAAAAGAAATCTATCAAGTGAGTGTCCATTCTCTGGGTGAAAATGCATTCTTGATGCCAAAGGAAAATGGCCAGCCGATTCAACCTGATAGGAATACATGGGAAATCAAACCTTGAAGCAAATTGCTACAGCAGCAGAATAACACACCATGGTTCCACTCCTGCAACTGTCAGCTAAGAAAAGGAGACTAAGGCTACAATTCACATGGGCTCACAAAAATTGGACAACAGATTGAAAAACAGTTTCCTAGTCAGAGGAACCTGAACTTCAGCAGGTTGCCAGAAAGGTACTAGCAAGGTGTACCTAACAAAGTGGCCAGAAAGGATCTATTATTTTACTTAAACAAATGCAGCTGACTATTTTGTAGGTCAGATTTTAATTTTCAAAGTCCAAATACCAGTAAAACAAGCCAGCATTCCTAAACAGAGTTGAAAGGTTTGGTGGCATTCTAACAGAAGCCAGTTTTTAAATGCAACCGGTTTTCAATTCTCATTCCTAGTCATAAGTCTAACGTACTCCATCATGTATCACTGGTATGTCTAAAATGAGAAGAAACCGGAACATGATGAAGTCATAGACAAGTCAAAGCGAATGATGGAAGAGTTGAGAAAGCTGATGTCACACTGTAGATCAGGTAGACCAAAGAATTCTAAACTCTCACAGCGGTGTAATCAAATTCTCTGCCTCTCCAAAAAAGGGTTCCTATTTCACAAACAGAAGTGCATTGTAGTCAAGGACATAAATTATTCTAGGCATGCAGAAGCTAACTTACACTTTCAGGCATACTCAGTAAAAAATAGACTCAGTTATGTACTGTTATCTCAGGTGATTGCACAATTGGTTTCTGTCTGTGACTCATATTTACTTTAGGTAGGCCTAGCCTACCTAACCCTGTGTATAGATGAACACTGCTATAATACTAGGTGTTAATGACCACAACAGTTTTCTTAATTTGATTTGTCTTTCAAACAGAAACATATTTTTCCCAAAGCTGCATAGGCACAAAACCAAACATTTGCTCTATATTATATTCAGTTTGTCACTACACCACCTATTTGAGCATGCAACTTTGCAAGGAAATGTAAAACACCCTAATACGCTGGTCTTTGTCACAAAAAACTGGGCCTC